GTGGCCTCTTCTGGAGGGAGTTCCTGTGGCCTCTCCTGGAGGGAGTTTCTGTGGCCTCTCCTGGAGGGAGTTCTGTGGCCTCTTCTGGAGGGAGTTCTGTGGCCTCTTCTGGAGGGAGTTCCTGTGGCCTCTTCTGAAGGGAATTCCTATAAGCCTTTGTTTACACATCTGTCACTGTCAGAAGAGACAGGCTGTGTCAGTATCTCCCAGAATTCACTGACCCAGACAATATCCTTTCCCCCAAACCTCGAACACTGGTTTTAGGACATAAAACCCACTCTTTTGAGTGAGATCACCCATGCTTTACAACAGCCTGAGTGACTTCTGTGTTACTTAGGGCCAGGCCAATCCAGACCCCCACAGGTGCTGTGTTTACCTCAGTCATTCTCCCTAGACCATAACTTTGAGCTTTGTCTGAAAGTCAACAATCCTACAATGAAGCCTTTCAAAGACGCACTTCGCAAGGAGCCACAATATAAACATGTCTTAAGCTTTGTTGTATTCACGGGGCTGAGTTAATTATTATCTGAATACTTTTTTTCCAAAATTGTGCTGTGCTAAAGGAAAATGATCTGGGCCAGATTCTGGAAGTCCTGGTCCAGCACCGGTTACAGTAAAATCGGGCTGAGCTGAGTTTCATTCTTACCTCATCCGGATTGGGGTTTCCCCGCCTGCTGAGAAGCCTGCAGGGGAACCCCCACACCACACTGTGTCTCTTGCAGGGTCACAGGCTGTCTGCAAGGCTGCAAAATGGTTGTTCCAATAAATCAGCTTTGGCGGGTCTCAAGGGCCACAGTCCCTCCTTGCAGGCCACCTAAGCCCTCTCAGGATGTGGAGCAGGATCACACCCACTACTCACTCTTCGCAGGCTGGGCAGCCCCAAAGGGGGATTCCAGGTAGAGGGGAGTTGGTTTGCTGCCTCAGGTGCCCCATCAGGCCTTCTGGAAGACCCAGGGCCCCTACCTTGACTCCACAAGGTAACAAATATTTGGAAGTGACCCATCAAGCCAAATTTGCACTGTAACCAGGCTGAAAATCTGGGAAAGTGTACAACCCCCTCCAGAAACTGTCAGACTGGGCCTGTTACATTCTGCTTCCCTTGGTCAGACAGACAGGAAGTCCCTTCCAAACCCCAGCAGAAAGGCCTCTCTCCTGGTGTCTCCTTTGGGGTTTGGTTTTGGAGGTGTGGGAGGGGGCAGAGGTATATGTCTAAGGCAGGGTCTCATGTAGCCCCAGCTAGACTTGAACTCACCATATAGCTGAGGCTGTCCTTGAACTCCTGTCCTCTTGAGTGCTGGGGTGGCAGGTGTGCAGCACTTCTCTGGGCCCCTCTCTTGCTCTGTGCTGTGTGTGTCCTGAGTAGTACCCATAGACTTTTCTCAAAACACGATGCAAGCTCCAGGCCATGTTTCCTGGTAATCTGTTATTGGATTTTCCCCAGGGGCCTGCCTTGAGAAAATCCTTCTTAGAGTCCTTGGGAAGATGCTATATCCGGCATGGGGGTATCTGAGGGAAAAGAATCTATGTAGGGCTGGAGAGTTGGCTCAGAGGCTAACAGCAATGGCTGCTCTTCCTGAGGTCCTGAGTTCAATTCCCAGCACCCACATGGTGGCTCACAACCATCTGTCATGAGATCTGGTGTCCTCTTCTGGCCCGCAGGGACACATGCAGGCAGAACACTCTATACATACATACATACATACATACATACATATATAAATATTTTTCTTAAATAAAAAAGAATCTATGTACACCAGTTTCTTATGTCCGTTACTTTATTTCTCTATAACAAACTTCTATCTACACAGGTTCAGTTCCGTTCTGACACTCAGTTCCTCTCTGTCCCTTCTTTTTCTGTCCTCTCAAGCCCTAGTAATAACTAAGCTCTTATGCTCTCGATCTCATCTTCATCCTCTGTTCCTTCTTCCTCCATCTTCCCTTCCTCTTCTCCTCTCCTGACCTGATTCAAACCACCTACAGTCTGCAAAACTTTTCCTTGCTCCTTACTCCTCGGCCAGTCTGCCTTCTCATCCACAGAACCTCTGCCTTGTTCTCTTCTCTCCGGCCACTCTGCTCCAACCAGCAGCTCCAGTCTTTACTGCATCTGGTTATGCAAAAAACTCTTCTGTCTTGAGTCACTTGCTCTGCAATGCCACTAGGTCTGAAGGGAAGGGATGATCTGAGCTTCATTTGCACAAGAAACAAAGCTATGTATCTTCAGTCCCCTTGTCTCCTAGGTCTGTAGGGGTGTTACCTAGTAGATCAGCGGTAGGTCTAAGAAGCTTATACTGTTTGCCATATGAAATTCATAGCAGAAGACAGCTGATATATTAAAAGCTGAATAACATCAAATATTCCCTGATAAATGACTTCCCTCTAGAAAGATTCCTTGACCTTTCTAGGTATAGCTTTAATATACAGCTGAATCTCTATAACATATTCTTATGGCTTGCAACAATCTGTGTGTCTGTCTTCCCCCACCAGCCACTGCAGGACCACCATTGAGTGCCTACTGCATACTGAAACACTTCTGTCTCCTCAGGGTCTCTCTAGAAAAGATGGTCCTTCCCATTCCCATTCACAGAAAGCTTGCTGTAACTTGGGTGGCAGGTGTCCCTGCCAGGATGCCCCTGGTGGTAGGACAAGAGCCTGCTTGTTGGCCAGGGCCATGTCGGGAGGCACAGCGTGGGCCTCCCCTGCCTGGCCTGCCGTGGTTTCCTGCAGGTGGCAGGGCATCCTCTAGTTACAGATGCTCCATAGACCCATGGCCCTTCCATGGACCAAAGGGACACAAAGGTCACCTCTGAGACTGCTGGCCACAAGCCCTGGCCTTTGCCCTTCAGTTCACAACTCAACCTTGCAGCCTCAGTTTCTCTACCCTGCCAGGGTCCAGCCTCTCAGGTCCTGAGATGGGGAAGGGGTGTCAGTGCACGGAAAACTTCTGACCATCAAGTGGATTGCACTCCAGTGGCCTCCGAATAGCTCAAGCTGTCTTTCTTACCAGGGTTACATGAACAGCTCTATTATTGGCTTCTGTTTTTGACTTCAAGAAATACATCACAGGCTGGAGAGCGGGCTCAGGGGTTAAGAGCACTGACTGCTCTTCCAGAGGACCTGGGTTCAAGTCCAAGCACCCACATGGCAGCTCACAACTGTAGCTTAAGTTTTCCTGCCTGGCCCACAGTCAGGACAAATCTCTCTCCCACAGCTGCTCAGACCCGACCAAGTAAACACAGAGACTTATATTGGTTACAAACTGTATGGCCATGGCAGGCTTCTTGCTAACTGTTCTTACAGCTTAAATAAATCCATTTCCATTAATCTATACCTTGCCACATGGCTCGTGGCTTACCGGCATCTTCACATGCTGTTTCTCATCATGGCGGCTGGCAGTGTCTCTCTGACTCAGCCTTCCACTTCCCAGCTTTATTCTCCTCCTTGTCCCGCCTACACTTCCTGCCTAGCCAATGGCCAATCAGTGATTTATTGACCAATCAGAACAACACACTTGCCATACAGAACATCCCACAGCACACAACTGTCTGTAACTCCTGTTCCAGAGGACCAGACACCCTCACACAGACATACATGAAGGCAAAACATCAATGCACATAAAATAAAAATAAATAATTACAGAAGAAAATACGTAATAATTTAAGGAATCCATTGTGATCATTATGAAAGCCCCCATTGTTCCCTTTTATGCTTCCCCAAATACACCTTCCCACCCCCTGCGTAACCTTATTCTACACACAGTGTTCAGCATTTTTCAGGCTTAACTAAATATCCAGCCAGACACATCCTGCTCTCGCAGCACTTACATCAGTGGGCAGCTACTTGTGGTTACAAAGTTAGAAAGTAATAGACATGGGCACAATGCTGTAAGGGAAACAATGTTCAAACCAGACAATTCTTTCATGTCTGCAAGATATACTTTTATACAGTTCCGTTTTCTACAAGAGAGTCCCATGTCTCAACCTCTCTGTAAAAGGCAGACCTTGGTAAGGCACTCTTTTCCCATCCCACTACACCATACTTCTTCCACCAATATAAGCCCCTGTGTATGGTAAAGGTGGATCTATCCATCCCGTACTTTGCATTGTGTTTTTTCCTCTTAGAGCATACCAGATCCTACCAATAATTCTATGCTTGGTGTCCAGGGAACTTACTCTCAACAGTTGGCACCATGTGTATTCCCGAGGCTTTCTCCCTAGCCTGTGTATGCATGCCCTTTCCCGAACTGTGAGACATGATTAATGTTCCAAGTGTTGTGTTCTCATATGTACCTAACTGTCTCCATTGAGTCAGAAAAGTTCCCAGGATTGGGTGTTGTAATTAGCAATTCCAGATAAAAGATTTAAGAAGCATTAACCCCCTGCTGAATCTTGGGAAATATTTGAGAAAGAGCAGCATTTCCTGGGAAAATTACAGCTGTTGCATGTGTGACTGACAAATAAAACTAAAAACCACCCAAAGAATTACCAATATAATGAGAGAGAAAAGAGCCTGCAAGCTGCATGAATTTTGCAAATTCCTTCACTCTCCCGTGGTCCTTGCTAAGTGAGAGTCCGTTTCCACAGGTGCCTTGCCCCCAGGAAACCCGTGGGACAGGTAGTCATGTGCCGATCCGAGTCTAGGCACGTTGCCCTGCTCCCAACGTTACCCAGAGACCAAACCAACAGCTACTGTGGATAGCCATGGTTCAGATGAGTCCCAAGCCCAGGAGCGCCAAGCATCCCGTAACTGGACAGGGAGGGCCAAGAATTTGAGTTGAGTTCCAGAAGTTTCTTTTTCTTCCAGGGGAATTCCACAGCAAGCCTCCCCCCACAAGGCCAAGACTAATTAATTCCTCCCTTTCCAGAAAAATGAAACCAAAAGGCTATCTTTTACTTGCGGGAAGCACCTCAGCTGCTCTGGGACTGCCCCCAGGTACTCTGGAAGTTGCTATTGGCTGGAGGCCGGACAGGCTGAGGGGCGTGGCCCGGAGAGGGTTCCAGCGCCCTCGGAAGCTCCGGGCTCCAGAAACCACATGGCACCCACTTTCTACCACTACCCGCAGGTGCCCATGTACGAGAAATGGCAGGAGCAGGGCCGGGGCCTGCGCCCGCGGTGCCTGGTGGCCGCGGCCTTGGTGGTCCTCTTCCAGGCGGCCTTGGTCACCCTGCTGATCTACTTCGCCGTCAGGGCGAACGGCGAGGCCTGCAGGGTCGGGCTGCGGGCGCAGGATGAGTGCCGCAACACCACGCACCTGCTGCAGCGCCAGCTCACCCGCGCCCAGGACGGCCTGCTGCAGGCGGAGACGCAGGCAAACACCTGCAACCGCACCGTGGTAAGGCCGGCAGCCGTCCCAGGCCCCCGCCCCGCCCCACCCCCGCGGCTGAGGACCCTGACCGGGGACTCCCACTCCCCACAGCTCCGGAATCGGGGGGCCTCAGCATCCTCCCTCCCGGGACTGTTGGGCGGAGGGTGATGGAGTTGGGGAGGGCACAGCGCCGGGGCTTCTCCGGGGACTCCACTCAGCCCTGATGATCGAAACTTTTTTATCTTTTGAGACAGGGTCTCGCTACATAGCTCAGGCTGCCCTGGATCTCACTCTGTAGACCAGGCTGCCCTCGAATGCACAGAGATCGCCCGCCTCTGCCTCCCAAGGGCTGGGGCTAAAGGCGTGTCTCCCCCCCCCCCCCCACCAGCAAATATTGAAACTTTGAATGTGTCTCTTAGAGACCTTGACTGGGAAGTGTCGTTGTTGTGTTTGGGGAGGGCTTGCTAAATCTGTGTGAGCCGCAGAACATCTGGAACTTTCTAGTAGGTTTTAGCCATGAAGAGCTTTCAAATTCCCGTGGGGAAGGGGGCTTGAGACTGCATTTTGGAGACGTTTTGCACGTTTGTTGCCAGGACTGGTGGGTACCGAGGGGAACCTGAAAGGGCGCTTGTTCGGGTCAGGAGGTCCTCTGATGACTTGGCCTGGAAAGTGGGGACCAAGACAACAGCCAACCCGTGTTTCTGCCGCTTCTCTGACTCAGGTGACCCTTCAGGATTCCCTGGAGAAGCAGGTGTCTCAGGTCCGGGAGCAGCAGGCCCGCATCCAGGAGCTTGAGAGTGAGAAGGGGTGGGGCGGGGGAGTGCAGGGGCAGGGGCAGGGGTGGGGTGGGGGCAGGGGAAGGGCTGGGGTGGGCGAGTGCAGGGGCAGGGGCAGGGGTGGGGTGGGGGAGTGCAGGGGCAGGGGAAGGGCTGGGGTGGGGGCAGGGGAAGGGCTGGGGTGGGCGAATGCAGGGAGCAGGGGAAGGGCTGGGGTGGGCGAGTGCAGGGAGCAGGGGAAGGGCTGGGGTGGGCGAGTGCAGGGAGCAGGAGAAGGGCTGGGGCGAGGAAGTGAAGGGGCAGGGGAAGGGCTGGGGCGGGGGAGTGCAGGGGAAGGGCTGGGGCGGGCTGAGAGGGAACCGGGCAGGCCTCCAGATCGGGACTCGGGGAGAGGTGGTGGCCCAGAGTGAGGGGACGAACAGAACTCCAGGGTCGGAAGAGTAAAAGACTGGGGAGGGGAAATGGGCCGAGAGAAGCTGTCAGGAGGGTGGGGGCTGCAGTCCTGCAGGGTCCCCAAGAGATCTCGCTGGTCCGTGACAGCCCCGTAGAAGGGCTCCACTGGCCCTTGATCTCCCTCTCCCTTCCTCGCTCCCTACCCCCCCCACTCCCCCTACCCACCCCCGCCCCCCACCGTCCTTGGCTGATGACTGGCCTTGGTGTCAGACATTACTTGGTGTTACTTTGGGGTAGTCTCCTGTCCCCGCCCCCTCCCTCCCTGCCTTCCCCTCGCTGACCCGCCCTCTGTGTCCCTGCAGGCAAGGTCATGACGTTGAACCAGGAGCTGGAGAAGCTGAGGTTAGAGACGCAGCCCCCCCCCCCCCCCCCGCCCCTGCCCTCCACCACCCCCCACCCCCCCCACCCCCCAACCTCCTCTCACCCCCCCCACTCTCCACTTCCTTCCTCAAGACCGGGAACCCACTTGGCTCACACAATCCATAGCTCAGGTCTGAGCTGTGAAGAAGGCTTAGTGAGGAGAGCTTGCAACGCTAGTTTAAGGACCTGAGTTCGAATCCCCAGTACCCACTTAAAAACTGGCTGTAGCTCCCGGTACCGGGAAACAGACAGAAATATCATGGGGTTCACTGGCCAGCCGGATGCACCCAGGCAGTAAGCTTCATGTTCAGGGAGAGACCCTGTCTCTCCTGGAAGAGGAAGAGGGTATGCAGGCAAAACTGTAGCCTTCCCGTCCCAAAGTTCACTGCCAAAATAGTAATAATAACAATTAATAAAAATCAGGTGGAGCCAGGCACATGGCGCACGCCTTTAATCCCAGCACTTGGGAGGGAGGCAGAGGCAGGCGGATCTCTGTGAGTTCGAGGCCAGCCTGGTCTACAGAGCGAATTCCCGGACAGCCAGGAAGACAGAGAAACTGTGTCTAGGCAAACAAAACAAAAAGCCTCAGAGGGAAAACATCCCTAGACCACGGCCATAGGTGACCACTCCCAGCTCCCTCCCTCAGGAATGTGGTGGGTGGGGCAGCCTAGGAGCCTCAGCTTGGTGACAGGGGCCTGAGATCCCAAGGGAGAGGAGGAAAGAGGAGCCTGAGTCCAGGTCGACCTGAGTGAGCAACTAGCCGAGGTCTCCCTCAAAGTCTCAATGCTAAGACACTGGCCGCTCTTGCAGAGGACCTGGTGCTGGTCCCAGCAACCAGGCAGGACACTGGTCACAACCACCCATAACTCCAGCTCCATGAGCTCCACACCTCTGGACTCTGAGGGCACTGAATTCACACACACACACACACACACACACACACACACACACACACACGCACACACACACACTTAATAAAATCAGGGCGGCTGAGGCGATTCAGTGCATGAATCACTTGCAGCACACAAGTCTGTCAACCTGTGTTTGCTCTCAGAACCCACACATGCCTCTGACTCCACACACGTGCCATGGTATATGAATCCTCATGCATACACATCACACATGCACATGTACACACTAAATAAAATATAATAAAATTTAAAAAGAATAAAAATAAAGTCTAAGGAAAGAAAATGTGAATTTGAAATACTAAGAATAGGGCTGGGGACCTGGCAGAGCCCCTGCCTAGAATCCCCAGTGAGGGGCTGGGGGCGTGGCTCAGGGGTGGAGTCCTGCCTAGAATTCCCCCAATTTCAAACCAGCACAGAAACATTTTAAAAGGAGGCAGGTCATCAGGAGTCAGGTGACCTCTGCCTGAGCCATCCCGTCTCCACCCAGGACCACTGAGGAAGCTTTTAGAACATCGCAGAAGAACTCTACCAGCTCCATGGTGCTCTCCAGCCTACTGATGCTCGCAGTGCTGCTGATCCTGCTCTTTTGAGGATCCAATACTTAGTAGGTGAGGAACTGGGTCCAGGGGAGGTTGTGAGACCTCAGACATCTGGGGGCGAGGGAGACATTGTGTATGTGGGTTATACTTGGGCCAAGAGAGGAGCCGGCTCAGGGAGGGGGTCATGGCCCTGCGGTGGGCGGGCGGATCGGGTGGCAGTTAACACCTGGGTCTCTCCTTTCTTTAGGCTACAGCCTGTTTTGATACAGATGCGGCTGCACCTGTTTGAAGTCGCTGGGGATCACGGTGGCTCTGGAGGAATCGTGGCAGCTCCGAGGATGTAGAAGCCACTGAGTGGAGCCTGGATTGTAGAAGCCACTGAGTGGAGCCTGGATTGTACCTCCCTCCCCGACTTATGACTGGGGAGGGTGAGGAGTGCACCTCCTTTTTTGTTTTTCATGGTTATTGGGGAGGAATTCCTTAGTTCTGATGTTTTTGAGTTTCGAAAAATAATTTGGAAAGAAAACTTGCTTCTAAGTGGCTAGTGTCACTGGGTCCCTGCTTCCCACCTCTTGTATATTGTTAAAGGACCAGCCTTAATAATATCCTTCCCAGGGGCTAGGAGAGAAACTCGAATGGTGAGAACTATTTTCGGGAAAAAGAATCTCAGCACAACAAGCTCTTTGTCCGTCTACTTTTTCCCTCTGGGATTAACATCCTGTCTACACAGCTACAGCACTGTACTCAAGCCTAGCTCCTTTCTCGCCTGATTTCTCTCTACCTTAATCTGCTGTCCCCTCTAGGTTCTATCTTAATTCTCTGATCTTAGTTCTGCCTCACCTAGGTCCTTCTCATCTCGTTCTTACCCATCTAGTACTTCCCCATCTGACTCTTCCTCATCTTCCATCTCATCCACACGTTCTCTCTGGTCAAAATCCTCCTTATCCCTCTCAGTTCTCCGTCCTCAAGTTCTCCACTCTTCTCTTCCTCTCCGTCTCCTTATACCTCTAAATCCTCTCAAGTCTCTGAGGTGTTTAGTTATAAACCCAAGCAACAACATCCTCTGGCAGAGCAAAGTCACCAGGCTTGAATTCTTAGGGGTCATAAAGGCAGGTGAGAATTTTCCTCAGGCAGTGACCACCAGGCTTTCTTTTACAACCTGAAAGGAGTGGTAAAGGAGGAGGTCACCTGAGAGCTAAGGACTGGTTAGTATATGAAAAAGGGGATCTGTGTGCTCAGTCTACATTCCTAGAAGTGGTTAGGCAAGAAGTTAGGAGTCTATTAGTAACGCTGTGAGAAAGGAGGGTCTCACCCTAAATTGCACAAGAAATAAAGCTATCCTCCTGACCCAGGAGACAAGTGTTTCGTTTGGCCTTGGATGCTTAAGTCTGTTCTTAGAGAGTACAGAGGTATCTCTGATAAGATACTTTCCTCCGTCTGGGAATGGACCTGGCCGGATGCTGCCAATGGCGATAATTACAGGGAGGCTAGAACCGGGGTTCTGGCTGTGCACAGCTGTCAGCGCAGAAGGTTATCTAAATATTCCTTTAGTAGAGGGGAAATGGTGCCCAATAAATGATGGAAAAGCTACAATAGCACACAAGAAACTCATAGCAGGAAAGGGCTGATAATCAAAAGCCAAATATCACCAAGGCTCCTTGAGCCTCAGCTTGACCTCTGGAAGGCCCTTGGCTTCTTCCAGGTATTGGCTTTGTCATAATCAGCTGAAATCCTACTTTGTATATATTTCTGGCTTGTGTCACCCACTGTCGGGGACCACCCTGCAAGTTGAGGTGGACACATGATTGCTGACCACGCCCGTCCACCCGCCCACTCTGCGGCCTCAGTCAGCGGGTACAGAGTGGCTTTCAGGGCTACCGTCCTCACCCACTGACTGAGGCCAGAACGACTCCTCATGCTCCTCTCTCTCCTGCAGTGAGCTCTGGGCGGTAGGGGTTTGTCCTGAAGACGTAGGCTCTGATGACAGCGAAGGAATGAACTTGCTCAGGAAAGCGGGAGCAAGGAGGCAGAGCCCTTTACGTAGGCTGCCAGCAGAGGGCGTGGCCCAGATTGCAGGTGGCTCTTCCCACCTCAGAAGACCTGGACAGCAGTGGGTCTTCCCACTTCAAATGATTTGTTAAGAAAAGAGTCCTCACAGCCCAGTCCCTTGGGCTTTAGTTAATTCCAGATGTAGTCAGGTTGAGAACCAAGAACAAACATCATGGAATTTACACCAGTTTACACTCAGTTAAGCCACCTTCTTTGTGTGTGTGTGTGTGTGTGTGTGTGTGTGTGTGTGTGTGTGTGTGTGTTTGAGACAAGGTTTCTCTGTGTCGCCCTGGCTGTCCTGGATCTCTCTCTGTAGACCAGCCTGGCCTCAAACTCACAGAGATCCACCTGTCTCTGCCTCCCAAGTGCTGGGATTAAAGGTGTGCGCCACCACTGCCCGGCCAGTTAAGCCTTTTTTTTTTTTTTTTTTTTTTTTTTTTTTTTGGTTTTTCGAGACAGGGTTTCTCTGTGTAGCTTTGCGCCTTTCCTGGAACTCACTTGGTAGCCCAGGCTGGCCTCGAACTCACAGCGATCCGCCTGGCTCTGCCTCCCGAGTGCTGGGATTAAAGGCGTGCGCCACCACCGCCCGGCCAGTTAAGCCTTCTTAAGGACTACTGTCCCCCAGTTTCCATCTCCTTCTCAGTCTCTAGTGCCTAGCTCTGATTCCCCCCTACCCTCCGCCCCTGGGATATCTCTGCCTTCCTCGGGTAACTTCCTTCCTCCACATCCTCCTGGGACCCAGCTATTGTCCCTGCCATTTCCTGCCTGTGACACTGAGGTTCACAGTCTTGTTCCCTTGACCCCACAGTACCCACTGGAGACAGGGCTTCCCTGGGGACCCCCAAATGCCCCTTCACAGGCACCTGTAATCCCTTTGTGCCTTGATTCTTGTTTGCCTCACATCATTATCCTTGTCTTGGTAAACAGTTGGTGACCAAGCCCTTTCCAGCGTCGGGCACATTGTGCAAGCTCTCCTAAACCCTCACACCTGATGTCTTGCTCAACCTTGCTGTGTGTGTGTGTGTTCTGGAAACCAAACCCAAATCCTGACCCCTGGGCCACGCCCCCAGTCCCTCACTGGGGATCCTAGGCTCCACCCTGAGCCACGCCCCCAGCCCCTCACTGGGGATTCTAGGCGGGGCTCCACCCCTGACCACGCCCCCAGCCCCTCACTGGGGGATTCTAGGCAGGGCTCCACCCCTGAGCCACGCCCCCAGCCCCTCACTGGGGATTCTAGGCGGGGCTCCACCCTGACCACGCCCCCAGCCCCTCACTGGGGGATTCTAGGCAGGGCTTCACCCCTGACCACGCCCCCAGCCCTTCACTGGGGGATTCTAGGCAGGGCTCCACCCCTGACCACGCCCCCAGCCCTTCACTGGGGGATTCTAGGCAGGGCTCCACCCCTGAGCCACGCCCCCAGTCCCTCACTGGGGATTCTAGGCGGGGCTCCACCCCTGAGCCACGCCCCAGCCCCTCACTGGGGATCCTAGGCAGGGCTCCACCCCTGAGCCACGCCCCCAGCCCCTCATTAGGGATTCTAGGCGGGGCTCCACCCCTGAGCCACGCCCCCAGCCCCTCACTGGGGGTACTTAGAGCTGGCCCTTCTCTGGTGGTCTTGGATGGTTCCCTGAGGTGACACCCAGCTTGTGGGCTGTTGACTGTGACTTTAGGAGGAGAGTGGGAAGGGTCATTATCTATGCTGGACAGGTCCCCACACACTCCAGATCGTTTGTTACCCCGTCACTCATTGCTCTGTGACGTAGCCTAATAAAATCAGATTTCTTGGGGTGAATTTTGGAACAGTAGAAGTGGGGGACTAGGCTTCACGGGGTGACCGTCCCTCCCTTGCAGACATTTACCAGAAGCCCTGACATGTTTGCTGCCTGCGGCTCCCTCCCTCCCTCCTTTCCTGTTTTCTGTGAAAATTTCCTGTGGCTGATTGGCTAGGGAAGGGGAGGGTGGGACTTTTTCATCTATTTGGGTCACTGTCTCCTTCACAGTGGTGACCCTCGAGGCTATGGAGGAGTTAGAGGAGAGAAAGAAGACAACTGTGCAGTGGACACAGACACACACTGACACAGACAGACAGACAGACAGACACAGACACACACATGCACAGACAGACAGACACACTGACACAGACAGACAGACACACACATACACAGACACAGACAGACACACACACACATGCACAGACACAGACAGAAACAGACACACATGCACAGACACAGACAGACACACACACACATGCACAGACAGACAGACACACACACACATGCACAGACACACAGACACACTGACACAGACAGACACACACATGCACAGACACAGACAGACACACACACATGCACAGACACAGACAGACACACACACACACATGCACAGACACAGACAGACACACACACACACATGCACAGACACAGACAGACACACACATGCACAGACACAGACAGAAACAGACACACTGACACAGACAGACAGACAGACACACACACACATACACACACACACACACAGGTCTGGGGAAGTGCTGGGCTTGCATGGGAGCCCCAGCTGACCAGGCGGTGAGGCCTCCCCTGGGCATTGAGCAACCCCTCCAACAGTGACCTCTGTCCTCTTGGGTTCCTGGAAAATCCTGGTGCATGCCTTCCACCCCCAGCTCCTCAGCACCGAGATGGCTGGTGAAGGCTGCTTGCCAATCTACACAGGAGGACAAACCCTGACATTTGGTCCCTTTTACCCTGAGTCTGGACCTCAAACCTGTGCCCCACGCAGCAGTCGGAGGGCTGGGGTGGGGACTCCAGAGGAAGTCAGGCTGTGCTCTGTGTTTCTGGCTTGTGGTCCAACCTCTCTGGGCCTGACTTGGTTTTCATTTTTCTTCTCATCCTTATTTTCCTTTCTTCAGATTTTCTTTCATTCTTTTTCATTTCTTCTTTTTTCCATCCTTCTCTCCTTATTTATCTTCCCTTCCTCTCTTTCTCTTTAAATCTCATCTTTTTTTGTTGTGATGTAAATAGAATTGTTCAACCCAGCGGAAATTCCATCCAAGCACAGAAAGACTCAGTCCATCACTGACTGGACTGGCTTCCCCAAGAGGCCGCTGAGTAGAGGCAGCCACGCCCATGTGCGTTTTCAGCTGGAGAGTGGTGACCTTCCTCACGGGTGCAGGTGTCACCTCTGTGGTCGCTGTCATTTCATCAGGGGTTTGGCTCTTCCCACTTCTTGGGGATTCAGTTGGGTCTGCTGGGTCCTGACCTTCCTAACTGTCTGGGTGAAGGAACTGGGGGCTGCCTGATGAGAAGCGATTGAGCTAAATCCGGGCCAGAGTCTCCCAGCTTAGTTCCGTATTTCTATGAACTCAATATCTTTTATTTTGTTGTTTTTGTTTTCAGACCAGGCTGGCCTCAAACTCATAGCGATCCTCCTGCCTCTGCCTCTGAGTGCTGGGATCAGAGGCTTGGGCCACAGATCCTGGCTTAATGCCTTTGAGTTTATTGTAAATGTATTTTATTTATATTCATATTCTAATTGGGGTTAAACCTTCAGCCCCAGGTCTCATGTAGCCCAGGCTAGCCTCTAACGCCATCATCCCACTTCCACCCCCCTCTGGGCTGACAGGTGTGTGCTACTGCAAACAACGTCCATTTCGCGAACTGAATGAGGGGCACACCTGGAGTCATCCTCAGCTCACACTTTGTGTGCACCTACTGTGTGCCCGGCCTGTGTGATAACAGGGTAGAGGATGAAACAAAATGTGAGGCTTTGCTTGTTGGGGCTCAGTTGGAATGTGGGGGGCAGGCAGGGAAGGAGACTCCGGTAAAATGCAGGCAGGCACCTGGGTGTCTGACGACCTTAGGTGCCCCGGACCTGCAAGTTGGAAAGAGAGACAAGGCGTCCTGTGACCTGGACAGACCCTTCATTCCTCCGGTGCACACACAAAATAAATAAAATGTAATAAGAACATAAAAAAACTTTTTGTAAGAACCTTGAACCCCACTCTCACGGAAAGATTGTCCACATGGGTCTGAGCACAGTCAGCGTGGAGACCCCCTCCCATCTTCTAGCCTCAGTTTCCCCATTAACAGAATGTGCTCACCTGGCACTATGGAGCTTCCCAACCATACTTGGTCTTTTGAGTCCCCCCCCACACACACACACCCTCCGTGGGCTCCTGACTCTCATCAGTTACTGAGTTCAGGGGAAACTGAGGCTCAGAAGGGTCTGGTGAAAAGGCTCTCGGCCTTTCCTAGAGTGCTCAGAGCTGACTGGTCCTGTGCACCCCTCCCCATCCCTCGGGAAGCCACCGCCGGGCGGGGCGGGACCGTGGGTGTCCCCAGAACCCCAGGGTGCCAATTAAGAGCTCGTGGCCCGTCTAGGGTCAGAGCCACGGTGGGATGGCAGAGCCGGGCCCGGAGCCGGGGCGCGCGTGGCGACTGCTGGCCCTGTGCGGGGCTGCGGTGTTTCTGGCGGCAGCCGCGGCCGGAGGGGCACTGGTGGCCTGGAACCTAGCGGCCTCGACGGCCCGGGGCCCCCGCTGCCCTGAGCCCGAGCAGGTGAACGCCACGGTGTGGCCCCCAGACTCGGCGCCCGAGGTCGAAGAACTTCGGCGGCGGCTGGCCGAGGCTGAGCAGCGCCGGGAGAGCCTGGCCAGGGAGCTGCAGCGCGCCGAGGGCAGCAGGAGGGAGCTGGAGGCGGCGCTCAAAGCCTGCAAGGACCGCCAGGTAGGGACAGGGGAAAGCCAGAGCGTTCAGCAGAGATCCTGCTTGTCCATCGCTAGGGCCTCAGTGTCCCCGACTCTCCAAAGGATGGAGGGGAAGCGCAGGACCACCCTGGTTTCTCCTATCTTCTAAAATGCCTCTTGGAGCCTAACTTCTGACCCATGACGCCATGAGAGACCCTGTCTCGACCCTCTGTGCCGCCTCACCCCCACTCCAGGCTCCAGCAGTCTTATTTTGAGAGAGGGACACTTACATCACCTGTAATTAGGAGACTAAAGTTGGCCTCTTGGGGTGGTACCAGCGGGACCTCCCTTTTCCGGGGACCACCCCCTCAGACTCTTAACTCTCTTGACCCCACAGCCTCACAAAATGGAGTGACAGTATGGTGTCACACACGAGGGAGGCAGAGGCAGGGAGGTCAGGAATTCAAACTCTTCCTCAGGACCGTGAAGAGGTGGAGGGCAGCCTGGGTTGCAGGAAGCCCCATCACAAAAGGAAACACTCCCAAACCTAGCGACGTAGTTTATTAAACAATGGCTGTAAACCTTTCTATGTCTGACCCAGCACAGTCTGCACATCTAATTTTGGTGGACACTGACCTGTACAGGAAACACAAGACTTTACTGCTAGGCAGGGCTCCACCCCTGAGCCACGCCCCCAGCCCCTCACTGGGGGATTCTAGGCGGGGCTCCACCCTGACCACGCCCCCAGCCCCTCACTGGGGGATTCTAGGCGGGGCTCCACCCTGACCACGCCCCCAGCCCCTCATTGGGGATTCTAGGCAGGGCTCCACCCCTGAGCCACGCCCCCAGCCCCTCACTGGGGATTCTAGGCGGGGCTCCACCCCTGAGCCACGCCCCCAGCCCCTCACTGGGGACCCTGGGGGGGCTCCACCCCTGAGCCACGCCCCCAGCCCTCTTTTTACTTTTAATTTTGAGACAGGATCTGCCTCAGATGCCCAGTATGTCCTGGAACTCAGGCTGTGGCCATGCCTGGCTGGAACTTCTGATCCTTCTCCGTCCACCTCCCACACGCTGGGATGATGGGCGTATCCTGCCAGGTCCAGCTGACATCTGTGTTTTAAAAATCTAAATGTCCTGGCAAGCTGAGGCAGGAAGACCACAGCTTTGAGGCCAGATTAAGGTGCAAAACGTCGTGGCTCTAATCCCAATACTGAAAAATCAGAACACCCCTGCGCGCTCCCCGCCTTCCCAGATGAAGGGCCTGAGGCGATGGAGGTCAAAGCTGCCTGTCCTCAGGTGTGAGTTCTGACCCTGCCCAGCTCAGCCAGGTTTGTTTTGCACGAGGGACCAACGTCAGCCTCAGAAAACCAGGCATTGTCACCCATCAAATCTGCCTGAGCCGGCGGCAAGTCCTAGATGGAGTTCACAGAACCAAGCATTCTCTGCCGTGCAGAGTTTGGGGTTCACTGAGCCCCCCACTTTGTCCCTTTTTCTTCCTCCCGCACCGCTGTCTGCAGAGCCGGCTTCAGACCCAGCTGAAGACCCTGAAGATTGAGGTGGATGAGGCCAAAGTCCGAGGCGCGCAGATGGGCCTGGAGAACGGGGAACTGACAGGTAGGTGGGCTGGGAGAGGGGAGGCCCAAGGAGGGGCCTAGAAACGCGCAGTCATGGGCCTGCAATTGCCGTGCAAAACTCTAAAAAGACATTAAAAGGACTTAGTACAACCTATAAGGGCAAGAAAACAGAAACAGGCCCGCAAAAGACTCGAAAATAATACAGACCAGTCAGTCTGTCTGTGGCTTGGCAAGGTAGAGAGCTTGGGTTCCATCCCCAGCACGCATAAACCAGGCTTGGTGGTGCACACCTGTCGCCCCAGGACCCGGGAGGCTGACACAGGAGGATATCTGTGAGTTTGAGGTCAACTTGGGCTGCACAGTAAGACCCAGTCTTCAAACAAACAAACAAACAAACAAACAAACAAACAAACAAACCAAAAACAACAACAAAGGTTGGTATGTGATGGTGGATGCTTGTTACTCCAGCCCTCCAGGGGCAGGACTTGAGAGTTTGGAGTCAGTTAGTCTCTCAGTAAATCTGAGGCCAGCCTGGGCTACATGAGACCTTGTCTCAAAAGCAATAATAGCATTAAAGCGACAACGATGACGAAGATGGAAAGTCGTGTACATTCTACCTTTTTGTTTTTTTTCGAGTCAGGGTTTCTCTGTGTAGCTCTGATTGTCCCGGAACTCACTCTGTAGCCCAGGCTGACCTCGAACTCACAGAGACCCGCCTGTCTCTGCCTCCTGAGTGCTGGGATTACAGGCGTGCGCCGCCACCGCCCAGTTTAGTCACGCGCATTTAAATTCGAGCATGCACACGGCGCGCTCTGTCCCTCTGTCCCCCGTAGAAGCCCTGGAGCGCTGGGAGGCGGCAGCCACGGAGTCCAAGCAACAGCTGGCAGCCGCACTGCAGCGCGCAGGCGCAGCAGAGGCAGACGGCGAAGCTTGCGTTGGCCGCGAGGTGGCGCTGAGGGAGCGCAAGTGAGTTGAAGGGCGGGTCGCGGGCGGCGGACGGACAAGGCCGCTGGCCAATGACTATGTAGAGTGTAGTTCTTTAGGCGTGGCTTAGGGACTCGGGGGCCTCTGCAGGTGGGGAGGGAAGCGGGGCCAGGTGAAGTTGGAAATAGCTCAGGATGGTGAGGGGGATAGGTTGTCTGTGGGTAGGGGTCCCCGGGTTGAAGGTGCCAGTTGGGGAATCGATGTGGGGCTCCAGGGAGAAAATACAAGGATGCAGGAAAAGGGAGTAGGTAACGAGAAGAGTCAGGGGCCCGAGTCCCTGGGCAGGGGTCTGTAGTATGTCAGAGTCTGGAAGAGAATGGGGACCGTGCAGGGTCCCCGCACGGACACGGTGTCGGGCGTCAGGCGCTCACCGTCCCCTCCTTTCTGCAGTTCCGCCCTGGAAGCCGAGCTCCGCAGCCTGCGCAGAGGACCGCGCCCCCGCCCCCGCTCAGGGTCCAGGTCCAAACCCTCCATCCGCTCCCACCCGAGGTCTGGACCCACTAAGGGCTGCCGGAGGCCACCTCGTGACCCCCAGTAGGATGGGAGCCTCGGGCCAGGACCGACAGCGTGGGTGAGAGGCGTGACCCAGAGCGTCCACGCGCGGCTTTCCACCCACGGCTGCCTAGGTGGCAGCACACAGGAAGACTCAGTCCTCCTCTCTAGGAGCACACGGTACTAGACCATCATTACCTAGGGAAGCCGCCTCACTTGGTCAGCCCCCATGTCCCCGGTAACCGCGATGGGACCTTCATCCCGTGGTCAAGAGGCTCACCCTTTAGGAGCACACAGAACTCACCAGAGCCCGGAGGCAAGCTCGAGTGGAAAGGTTTACAAATTCTAAGAAGCCGTGAGGATCGGGGCCAAGGTGAGGAGGATGCCTGGGGCCTAGAAAGTGACCCTGTTCTGGAGGAGATGCCCAGGAGACAAGAAAAGAGAGCGCAGGACGTAAAAAGGGGAGCTGTCTCGGTCACATGGGGGAAGGGGCTGTCTCTGGGCTCAAAAGAATCACTGGAAGGTCGACAGTTCTCCCACCTCCCTTCCCGACTCTCCCTCCCCCGTTTCCCCTCTCTGTCTTCATTTCTTTCTGGGTCTCATGTAGCCCCGGCTGACCTCACACTATCTATATAGCCTAGGCTGCCCTGGACCTCCTGATACTCCCCTCCCCCAGGGCTGGGATTAAAGGCGTGCACCACTTCACCCTGCTCAACAATCTAAGGTGTGCTTAATTTCACGTTGTTTGTGAGTCTTAAAATTCACGTTTAACATAGTTTTTCTGCAGCATCTTCCTATGCAGTTCAGGTTGGCCTGAAACACACCGTCCAGCCTCTCTCCTGTGAGTGCTGGCTTTATGGCTTTACTGGCGTACTTCACCAAGCCGGCCTCATTTTCCTTTGAAACTGCTTATCCACATTTAACGTGACTGAGAGAGACAATTTCTGTGGTTTTTTTTCCCCATTCATCCAGATTCCTTAATTTACTCTTTGTTTCTTGCTGTTCCCTGGCGCTGGAGATCGCCCCGGGCGCGGCGCACACCAGGCAGGCGCGGTCCTGTCTACATCTCCAGCCTCAGCAGCTTTCTCAACACCCAGTCATCTCACAAACATGCAGAACTCAGGCCTGGGGGATCCAGCACCCTCCTCTGGCCCACTTGGGTACTGCATGCATAGTTGTGCAGATTCATGCAGGCAAAGAGCATATACAAAATAAATAAAAAATTAAACCATTTATTTATTCATTTATCTATTTATTTGAGACAGGATCTCTCTATATTATAGCTCTGGCTGTCTTGGAACTCACAAGAGATCCTTCTGCCTCTGCCCCCCCCAAGTGTTAGGATTAAAGGCGTGGACCACCAAGCCTGGCCAAAAAAAAAAAAAAAAAAAAAAAATCCAAACCAAAAAAGCCTGTCTTTCATACATTCCACGAACACAATGCACAGTCTAGAGAGGAACCCATCATCTCTGGGAACAAGGACGCTGAGATCCAGGTCCACTATCTATCTGTCTATCTAGTGAGGCTGATTCTCAGACAAAAGCAAACACTACTCACAATGTTTGTAAACACATTGTTATCTCTGCCGTGCAGCGATGGCAGAGTGCTTAAGAACACTAGCTGCTCCTGCAGAGGACACAATCGGGTCCCCAGCACCCACATCCGGCGGCTCACACCCGCCTGTAACTCCAGCTTCAGGGAGTACGATGCCCGCTTCTGACCTCTGTTGTCACAGCACTTGCTTGCTCATAACCACACACAGATACATAAAATAAATAATTTTTTGAAATGTGATGCAGAAGTGGGACGTGGTGGTCCATACCTTTAATTGGGAGGCAGAGATGGGTGGATCTCTGTGAGTTCGAGGCCACCCTGATCTACAGAGCGAGTTCCAGGACAGTCAGGGCTACACAGAGAAATCCTGTCTCCAGAAAACAGGAATAATAATAATAATGATGAAATGTGATGTGATGTGGGGAAAGACTGGGAATGTATCTCAGTGGTGGAGTGGTGGGTATGAAGCCCTGGGCACAGTATCTAAAAATAAGAAAGAAGAAAATAAAATGAAAGAAAAAAGACGCTTTTTTTTTTTTTTTTTTTTTGAGACAGGGTTTTTCTGTATAGCCCTAGCTGTCCTGTCCTGGAACTGGCTTTGTAGACCAGGTTGGTCTGGAACTCACAGAGATCCTCCTGCCTCTGCCTCTCAAGTGTTGGGGTTAAAGGCCTGCGCCACTACCACCTAGCTCAAAAAAGACATTTTTGTTTTCCTTTGGTAAGTTGAAAATCAGATCGGAGGGTTTTCTAGGCGTCATCTCGTTTCTTGCCATCAGGGGTCGCCGCAGCCTGCAGAGCCGGGAGGGGGGGGTGTCTGAGATCCCCTTAGCCCAGCCCTGAGAGCTGGGAAACTCCTTTTATGATGGGGCAGGCACTGGGCGGGATGAGGAGCTCAGGGTCAGCCTTGCCTACATAAGAAGTTCGAGACTATCCTGAGCCTCATGCGACGTCCACAAACATTGTCATCCCAAGCGGTTGCCCCCGCCTGTAATCTCAGCAATCTGGAGACTGAGGCAGGAGAATTATCAGGCTTACAGTGAGACTCTGCTGGAAAAAAAACTATCAGAAAACACCGTGTCAGGGCGCGGAGGGCGATGGGAGGCTGTGGCGGGGGGGGGGGGGGGGGGGGGGGGGGGGGACGGGGGGGGGACGGGACGGGACACAAGAACCACAGGCGGTCAGGGTGAGCCAGAACTGAGTCATGTGACCCGCCTGCCTCTCCGCAGGCCACACCAAGCCCGCTTTCCTTCTGCCTCTGATTGTTTTGAGACAGGACTCGCGTAGCCCAGGCTGACCTCCAATACACCATGTAGCTGAAGATGACCCCAAATGCTGATCCTCCTGCCTCCATCTCACCTGTGTGGAGGTGACAGGAGATACAGGGACAGAGCCCAGGGCTTCACACATGCTGGAGGAGCTCTACCAGCTGACTACAGCCCCTGAACCGTTTTTGTTTGTTTCTTTAGGGTGCTGGGACCCTGGCATAGCCTGGGGGCACACACAGCAATCACGCCACCCTGAGTCAAGAGTCTAAAAAAATGATTACATTTCTTTATTAATTTGTGTGTGTAGATGCAACGGTGCTCATTTGGAGAACTCGGAGGAGTGGGCTGTGGAGATGAACGAGGGTCGTCAGGCCTGGTGGGAACGCCCTAGCCTCTGGCCATCCCCGACGTGTCCCTTGTGTCTACTCTTGTCTGCAGCCCATGCCTCTGGAGTCTGGTCTATGCCCACCAGGCCCCTCCTGTGAGTGCAGGAGCTGGGGTGGGGGTGGGGCAGCAACAGCAGCCCCAGGGTGTTGACGACAGGCCTCCCCTGAGAGTATCACCCCCGGAGTCCCCACCCCAAGGGACTTAGAGTCCTAAGGCGCTGCCCCCAATCTCAACCCAGCTCTGCTTCACTTTCTCCTAAATGCAGAAAATCTATCCATGGAAAACTGAGAGGGAGGTCTGCCTGACAGGCAGGAAAACCATTCCCACCACCAGGCTGGGTGCCTGGCACACACCTACAATCCTAGCACTTAGGATACAGAGGCAGGAGGATCTCTGTAAATCAAGAGTTGCAGGCTAGTCAGGGCTATCTTAAAATAAAATAAAATAGCGCGGTGGTGTTACACACCTTTAATCCCAGCACTCGGGAGGCAGAGCCAGGCGGCTCTTTGTGAGTTCGAGGCTAGCCTGGGCTATAGAGCAAGATCCAGGACAGGCTCCAAAGCTACACAGAGAAACCCTGCCTCGAAAAACCTAAATAAATAAATAAATAAATAAATAAATAAATAAATAAATAAAGCTCTTTCTTGCTTTATAATGTTCCTGGTGGCACACTTCTGTCACCCAGCACTCTGGAAGCTGAGGCAGGAGGATTGCTGTGAGTTCAAGGCCAGCCTTCAAGTAGCCTCACACTACTTGGAAGCACATAGTAACAAATGTCTCAAAACAATAAAACAAAAAACAAACAGTGAAGTTTTTTTTCTAACCAAGATATGACGTTTTTTTAAACCTCCTGTCTCCGTGAAGACTGAGCTGCTTCGCTGGTGGCAAGTGCGGACTTCCTTCGAAAGGTTCCCACCTAAACAAACAACTCAGGCCCAATTGATTGTTTTCCATTTAGAGAGAAAGAGGGGGTGGGGAGCATCCATGAGGATCCTGAGCCGCATCCGAAGGGACGCAGCATGGGCAAAGTTTCCTGTGACCATGACAAATTGTTCTCAGGAAAATCACAGAGCGGTCCCATCAGGGAATGAGGCTGACCTGGAGGGCGTCTTCCCCTCCCCCTCCCTACGGGACAACCTGGCCAGGGATGCAGAAGGGCTTCAGAAGGTCTATTTTTAGAGACGGTATACAGTGCGGCAGGAGCGGTCAAGGAATTAACCTTTTGAAGGACGCTCTGGTGGCAGCTATGTCCAGTGTGAGATGGGAGGTTTGACCGGAGAGATTGATTGCCGATCTTTCCCCCACTGAACCGTGACCGGGAACCAGGACTGGGAACCCAAACAGAAAGGCCAACGGCTCCGTGGACCTGGGAGGCTCCAGGCAGAGCAGCTGAGCCGGTGTGGAGTCCGGCTTCCATCCCTGTGCCCCGGAGAGGATTCTCCGGAAGGTGCTTGCCTCTGAGCCTGAGGACCTGAGTTCAGGCCTTGGGACTCACCAGAGAATTGATTCCTGCAGGTTGTCCTCTGACCTCCACACGCATGCGCACACACACCTAAAGTAAATGTAAGTTTTAAAGTTTTAAAACAAGCAAGAAAGGAAAAAAAAAATCTTAAAGACATAACTAAGCAAAAAAACAAGGAAGATTCATTATTTTTTTTCTACCTAAAAAGTAAATCTTAAGCTGGGGCGTGGTGGCGCACTCCTTTAATTCCGTCACTAAGGAGGCAGAGGCAGTTGGATCTCTGAGTTTGAGGTCAGCCTGGTCTACAGAGCAAGTTCCAGGACAGCCAGGGCTACACAGTGAGACCCCTGTCTGAAAACAAACAAACAAACAAATAAATCTAACGGGGGGCCCTGGTGAGATGGGTCAGCAATTAAGGGAACTGGCGGCTCTCACAGATGGACCCAGTCCCCGGCACCCGAGGATCCAATGCCCTCCCCGGCCTCTGAGAACACTGCACACTGCAAACACCGTTACTCCGAGTACTCCCCAAAGCAGCCTGGGCTGCATGAAACCTTGTTTCAAAAAATGAGTCAAAACTGTTAGACTGGATTACCAATGTGGAAAGAAATATCCTTCTTGATCTTGATAGAAATGAAGTTAGTATATATGTTAAAATGTAACAATTGCCCAACACGACCACGCACCATCAGATCAAGGATCAAGGGTGGTTTTTTGATTTTCTGAAAGTTTACAATTGCCTTTCTTTTTCCTTACCTGACTTTATTTTATTATTTTATGTGGATGGGTGTTTTGCCTGCATGTGTATCTCTGTATCACATGTGTTTAGTGCCTGTGGAAGCCAGGAGAGAGCTTTGGATCTCTTGGAACTGGAGGTACAGAAGGTTTTAAGCCATCATGTGGGTGCTGGGTATCGAACCCAGGTCCTCTGCAAGAGCAGCCAGTGCCGTCTCTCCAGCCTACGACTCATTTGCTGTTGCTGTTGTTTGTTTGATTGTTTGTTTCAAGACAGGGTTTCTCTGTGTAGCTTTGGCTGTCCTGGAACTCGCTCTGTAGACCAGGCTGGCCTCGAACTCACAGAGATCCACCTGCCTCTGCCTCCTGAGTGCTGGGATCAAAGGTGTGCGCCACCACATGGCACACCTCTATTTTTAATACATTTTATGTATTTATTTGTGTGTGGTGGGCACTCACACATGCCACTGCACCCATATGGAAGTCAGAGGACACCTGTGGGATTCTAGTCTCTCCTTCCACCACGTGGGTCCTGGGGATCAAACTCACACTGTCAGCCTTGGCAGCAAGCACCTTTTCCCACCGAGCCATCTCGCTGGCCCCTCAACTGACTCTGTGTTTGTAAGGACATATATAAAGCACCTTGCATACATTATAAAGCACTGTCAACTCTTCTAGAACTAACCCCAGCCCTGCCTCCTGCCTGAGCCCCTCCACAGGACCCTCCTTACTTACATTCCACCCATCACTGTTCCTGTCCTCTGGGTTCAGAGACTGTGACCCTGCCCCACTGCCTCTCAGCCTGGCATCATGTGACAGTTATACGCCGTGTGGATGAGAGTTTCACACTTGGTGCCTACAGAAGTCCCACGGCTTACTTATTTTAAATATCGTATCATTCTATTTCATGTGTCTGGGTGTTTTGCCTGCATGTATGACTATGTACACCTGTGTGCATGGTGCCATCCAAGTCCAGAAGTGGGCATCAGATCCCTGGGGACAGGAGTTACAGAGTGGTTATAAGCCATTATGTAGGTGCTGGGAATCGAACCCAGGTCCTGTGAATCGATAAGGCATGCTCCAGCCGTCTCACGGTTTATTAAGGCTGAATATGTGTCTAGCTCTGTAGGAAAGCCTTGGAAGCGAGCTATATTGGGCGCTGGGAAGATGGCTTTGTGGATAAAAGCTCTTGCCACAAACCCCGAAGACCTGTGTTCAGTGCCCAGAACCCACAAAAGGTGGAAGCAGATAACTAACTCCACAGAGTTGTCCTCTGACCACAGACAGACCCCCTGGGGTACCCAAGACACACCACAGACAACAAGAGCCGTAAGGATGAAAAAGGAACTAGTGTGTGGGGCTCGGTGGGTAGGGAGCTCGGTTAGCACGGAGAGACCCTGAGATCCACGCCCAGCACCGTAAATCAGGGGTGGTGCTGCACACCTGCCTTCCCATCGCTTTGGAGGGGGAGGCGAGCCGATCAGGAGTCTCAGGCCGTCCTTAGCTACATAGCCACTAGGAGGTCAGCCTAGGCTACATGAGACCCCCCCTCTTAAAGGGAGCAAAAAGCTGCCCTCTGTAAACAGGATAAAACCGGAATTTCAGGGGAGGAAGTTACTTTTCTGGGGTCATGTGCTGGCCAGGTGGCATGCCAACTTGAGGCTGAACTGTGCCCCCCCCCCCCACCCGCACCCCGCCTGCCTGGCCAACCTGGAGCCACAGCCGGTTGGGCCCCAACTGCAGCCCCCAGTCCCGCCACCCCCCCCACCCCGCCGCTGTCCAGGAAGGGTCTAGAATCAGGAATCACCGGGTGGCTGCAAAGGCCAAAGGTCACACAGGGTTTCCTGTCCACCCCTGGGAACTTCCTCCTTCCCAACCCCACACCCGCCTGCCCAGCTCCTTCTCCATCCCATCCCTTCCCAGACTCCGGGGCGAGCTCAGGCGACCTTCCCCCCGCTGGACCCCACAGCTGCCAGCTCCTAGCCCCTTGCCCCACAGGTCAGGGCTGGCTAGGAGGCAGAGACAGCAGGCAGTGGGGGAAGCAGGCAAAGGATTCCAGAAAAGTCTCCCAGCACTTTTGGGGGTGGGGGCACCCCCAAGTCCTTTTCTCTGTGACCCTGAAATCTCACATCTTTGTCTGGAGGTTGGCCCACAGAGACCCTAGAACCTCTCCAAGAGCCCTACCTACCAACAATGCTCACTGCCAACTCCTGGGACCCTGATCACAGCAGGCCAGGAACATAAGCACACTGTTGTCATAGAGAGGGGAAACTGAGGCACAGATTGGTGCAGTCCTTGCCAGAGTTCACAGAGGTCTCTCTCCCCTTTCCCTACTCCAAGATCCTGCTCTCCTACTTCAGACCTGGGGGCGGGGGTCCTAGGCAGCGGCTCCACCCCCGAGCCACGCCTCAGCCCCTCACAGGGGGAGTCTAGGCAGGGGGTCTATTGCTGAACCAGGCCCTAGTCCCAGAACACTATGTGAGCTGGTAGAATGTTTGAGGGAGGTGGTACCACTGTCCCCCAGGAGTCAGGTGTTTGTGGGGTTCTTCTGTGTACTAATTGAGCACTTCCTGTTGCCCATCGTGGAAAACCTCCCCGGAGGTCCTGGGTGGGGAACTCACGCCCGCAGTGCTTTGCCTTGGATCCCATACTCCTCTGTGCGCGTGTGCGCATGTGTGTGTGTGTGTGTGTGTGTGTGTGTGTGTGTGTGTGTGTGTGTGTGTGCGCGCGCGCGAGTGTGTGCGCCTGGGAGCTGCCCATGGTGACTGTTGGGTTTCGTGGGATTTGACTGGTGGCACCTCAGTGACCTGGGCATGTTTGAACCCAGCTTGCCACACAGTAACCGGGCCAGTCTCTTGTCACTGCTGTGCTTCAGGGTCCTCTTCCACACACCGGGCCTAGCCACGGGCATCGCCTGGCTGGCCTATGGCCCGGTGGTAGTGGTGGAAACTGAGGCCGGGCCAGGCAGAGGAAGCCAGTCCAGTCACCCAGCGGGCGCCGCACCCTCCATCTATCACGCTGTCCAGACTGCCAGTCCTTAACAGCCAGGGTGGGAGTGTTGTGATAACCCACAGCCCCCATTTCCTCCTGGCCAGGAAGGAGCCGGGCAGAGGAAGCATTAAGAGAAGTAATATAAACACTCCCCCCTGCTTGGCGCGGCCCAGATCTGGCCAGGCAGGCGAGCAGGGACAGTGCTCCCGCCTGACGACGCTGCGCGAATGGGGCTCGCCACGGATCGCGGCCCGCACTCCCGCCCGGGGCACACGGCGCGCGGCTGCTGGTACTACCTGCGCTATTTCTTCCTGTTTGTGTCGCTCATCCAGTCCCTCGTCATCCTGGGCCTGGTCCTCTTCATGATCTACGGCAATGTGCACGCCACCACGGAGGCCAGCCTGCGGGCCACCGAGATCCGCGCCGACAGCCTGTACAGCCAGGTGGTGGGGCTGTCGGCCTCGCGGGCTAACCTGACCAAACAGCTGAACATCAGCGCGCACGCCAAGGACTCGGCCGTGCAGCAGCTGCAGAGCGCACGACGTGAGCTGGAGCGCATCAACGCCAGCTTCCGCCAGTGCCAAGGCGACCTGGTAAGAGGCGACCTGCGCGTCCCAAATTCTGAATTCTTCTTGAGGAAACCATACTCCCCTCCTCGATTCTTTATTTCGAACATGGTTTCATGTAGTTGAGGCTGGTCTAGAACTCACTGTGCAGCCAAGAATGTCCTGGAGTTCCTGACCCTCACGCCTCTGAGATTACAGGCCAGTGTCGCCACGCCGGGTTTATGTGGCACATGCTACACCACTGAGCTACAGCCTTTCCCTGCCCCTAACCCCAGCCCCAGGCAGGGTCTCACTATAGGCTGGTCTTAAACTCTTGGCAATTCTTCTGCCTCAGCCTCCTGAGTGCTGGGTGACTGACTGCGTCACCCCATGCAGCCGGTGAGGATCTTTTGACAGTGTGATTTTCACGATGGCAGACATCGCCTGCCAGAAAGGGTTTGCTGCAGGTGGCATGATTTTTAAAGTTAGATTTATTTCTTGCACATGCATGTTTACCTACATGCCATGCCTATGTGTGGAAATCAGAGGACAGCCTTCTACCATGTGGGCCCCAGAGAACAATGCAGACTGTCGGCCGGCCGCAAGCCCTCACCTGCCGAGTCACTCGAAGGCCTGACGACGGCTCTATTTACTTAGGTATTTATTTATTTATAACAGGCAGGGTCTCACTATAGCTCCGGCTGTCCCGGAAATCACTGTATAGCACAGGCTGGCCTCGAACTCACAGAGCTCCATCTGCCTCTGCCTCTCAAGTGCTGGGATTAAAGCCACTATACCCTGCTCTCGAATCATCCAATTTAACAACAAGGTTTCTCTTGAGCTAAATCGGGAATTCATAATTTATGGCTAGGCCAATCCCCTGTGGAGGCAGAGCACCCCCTCAGTAAGCTTTGTGGGTGAAAGCGGGCACAGACCCCTGCGCTGTCGACCTGCAGTTGGGGTTTAGCTGGGCATCCTGGGCGGTCGCAGGTCCTGCTGCTGTAAGTGCCTGCCCCGTGTCTGCTCACAGCGGCTTCACAGGGCTGGGTAAACGGACCCAGAAAGCTTGATTCTTCCTCACTGGGACATGGGTGAACCGAGCCTGGGTGTGGCTCAGAGCTCAGCGCTCAGCCCTTGGCCAGCATGTGTGAGGCCCTGTGTTCCGTGCCCAGCACCGAGCACACAACCAAAAGAAATGCCTCTCTTGGCCATGGTGGCACACACTTGTCACCCTAACACTTGGGAGCTGAAGCAGCAGGAGCAGGAGTTCAAGTCAGCCTAGACTACATAAGACACACACACACACACACACACACACACACACACACACACACACACACACAGAGAGAGAAAGAGAGACAGACAGACAGACTGAGACACACACACAGAAAGAGAGACAGACAGACAGACAGACTGAGACACACATGCACACACAGAAAGAGAGAGAGAGAGAGAGAGAGAGAGAGAGAGGGAGAGAGGGAGAGAGAGAGAGGGAGAGGTGGAGAGGGAGGGGGAAGGAAAGAGAGGTTTCAGGCTCTTTCCCAGGTGGGGCTGAGCCCCTGTGTCCTGGAATGGTCACAGAGACCCCGAGACAGCTGTCCCCACACAGCCCCCAGCATGTCCGACATACCTGACTATGCTCACTAGACACCTCCCCACGCCACAGGGAGAACAGGACACTTCAGGCTGGGGCAGCTTCTGGCCCAATAGCAGGGGTGCTGGCAGCCGCCAAATTAGGGGTGAAGTAAGGACTCCCCTGGAGAAGACCCGGTCCTAGGCTGCCCCAGGACAGAGGTGGTCTCCTCCCTCAAAGCAGCCCCACAGGGTAGACGCCTTGAAGCCCAGGCTTCCCAGGCAGAGCTCCCTGGCCTCTTGTACTTTCTAGGCACTTACCACCCCTGGGTCAGGATTTGGGGACACACTTTCCCCACCTCATTTCCCACACTTCCTCATTGGAAAACCCAGGGCCCAGGCCTCTGGGTTTTAATTTCAACATAACTAATTTATTTACGGCTCCTGGAGCTTGACCCTGACCCAGAGTCTCCTCCTTGTTAAGTGCAGACTCCATCACACCCCAGTCCTGATTCTACAGTTTAAAATTTTCCAGCCTGGGCTACATGACCACCTGACTCAGGACACTGGGGTTCTTTGGCAAGCTGCCTTCCCCATGCTGGACAGGAGCCCAGAAGCCACCTGAGACACACCTTAGTGGTTTCTGTCTTGTCTCCCACTTCCCGAAAGCACAAAAAAAATGTGATTTTTCTGCTTCCTCTCCTCTTTGTCTGTTCCCTCCTCATCCACTTTGTGTCTTTTTGGTTTTGTTTTAAGATAAACTCTTGCTCTGTGCCCAGGATGACCTTGAATTTACTGTGTCCCCCTGTCTGGAAGGACAGGTACACACCACATCTTGCTTCTGTGGTGGTGGGCACAAAACCCAGGGCTCAGCCGGGCAGTGGTGGCACACTCCTTTAATCCCAGCACTCGAGAGGCAGAGCCAGGTGGATCTTTGTGAGTTGTGAGGCCAGCCTGGGCTACAGAGTGAGTTCCAGGACAGGAGCAAAGCTACACAGAGAAACCCTGTCTCGAAGAAACAAAAACAAAAACCAAAAACCAAAAAACAAACAAATAAACAAACAAAACCCCCCAAAAAACAAAAAACCAAAACCCAGGGCTCTGTGTTTGCTGGGCTGGCACTCTAGCAACTGAGCTTCGGCCTCTATCTGTTTAAGAGAGTCTTGCCCAGCGTGATAGCACACACCTTTAACCCTAGCACTTGGGAGGCAGAGGCAGGGGGATCTCTGAGTTCGAGACCAGTCTGGTTTATATTGGGAGTCCCAGGACAGCCAGGATTACAGACCCCATCTCAAACAAACAGACAGCCTTCCTCTGTGATCCAGGCTGACCTCAAACTCCTGGCGGCCGTCCGACTTCAGCCTCCTGAGTGCTCAGGTGACAGGTGAGAGCCTGTTTCTGAGGTTTTATGAACATCTGGCTTATGAGGGCTGGGGTTTGAACCCAGGGTTTGTGCCTCTTAGGCAAGCACCTTACCAACTGAGTGAGCTACAAGCATTCTGCCAGTGGAGCTCTCCCGCAGCTCTAGTCAGACCCACAACCCTCTAGAGGTGTCGTGGCGGCCACTGTGTGTGCATCCCTGGAGATGGGTGCTGAGCTGTGTTGCGTGTCCACACCTGCAGCTCACCTACATGAACTATCACCCGTTCATGGTCGCCATCATCCTGAGCGAGAAGAACTGCTGGGAACACCTGAAGGAGAACAACAAGACCTGTGAAGGTAAGCGGGTCCTGGCTGGGACGGAGGGGGGGGGGGGGGACGGCGACCACGCAGCTCAGGGGCCAGCCTGGGCTCACCCTCCTCGCCCCCGCCCCGCAGCCTTGCTCTTCAAGCTGGGAGAGAAGGCTAAGACGTTGGAGATGGAAGTGGCCAAGGAGAAGGCGGTGTGCGCCAAGGACAAGGATAGCCTGATGGCGGGAAAGCGACAGGCGGAGGAGCAGCTGGCGGCCTGTGGCAAAGAGCGGGAGCGGCAGCAGCAGGAGAAGCAGGTGGCCGAGGAGCAGCTGCACAAGGTGCAGACCCTGTGCCTGCCGCTGGACCAGGACAAGTTCCAGGCGGACGCGTTAAACGTGTGGCGGGACTCGCTCATCCCGCGCTCCCTGGAAAGCCTGGGCTACCACTACTCGCTGGTGCCCGAGATCGCGTCCCTCCGCCGGATGTGCGAGCACCTGCCCAGCATCATGAGCTCCAAGCTGGAAGAGCTGGCGCGCGGGCTGCGCCTGGGCATCGAGCGCGTGACCCGTGAGAACGCGGAGCTGCGGCGGCAGAAGCTGGAGGTGGAGCGCGGGGCGCAGGGCACGCAGGAGGCGCGGGCGCGCGCCGAGGCGGAGGCGCAGGCACGCGAGAGCCAGCTGCGGGCTGAGTGCGCGCGCCAGACGCAGCTGGCGCTGGAGGAGAAGGCGGCTCTGCGCGCGCAGCGGGACGGCCTGGCTCGCGAGCTGGAGGCGCGCAAGCGCGAGCTGGAGCAGCTGCGCACCGAGGTGGACGTGCGTATCAGAGCGCTCGACACCTGTCTCAAGGCCAAGGTGGGCCTGGTCCACGGGGTGGAGATGGGTGCCCTGGATGCAGTCTGGGAGGGTCAACCTGGGAAGGGGTGGGAGCTGAGGCCGGAGGATGTCACTGAAGGAGGAAAGCTGGGCCGGGGCGAGGGCCAGGTGGGCTTTGCCCTGGAGGGATGGCGGGAACCGGGTTTGGAGTGGATTTGAGTCCAGTTTAAGGATTAGAGGTACGGGTGAGGGTTGCAGGTGATGTCGGAGCTGTGGTGGACTCGATTTCCCGCCCAGTTTCAGGATCCTTGATGATGCCTCAGGTTGGTTTGGGTTAAGATCTTGGTTCCTTAGGCTGAACATAGTCTCTAATCCCAGCACTGGTCATTCAGGGGCAGAAGGACCTCTGTGGGTTCGAGGCCAGCCTGGTCTAAATAGTGAGTTCCAGGACAACCAGGGCTACACAGAGAGACGGTCTCAAAACACAAACCATCACCAACAGAAAAACCACCCAACTAGGTTGCTTAGGCGTTTGTAGGGCACAGAGGGACCAGCTCCCCCAACCTCTCCTGCTCTTTTTCCAGTCGCAGCCAGCCATCCCGCCAAGAGTCTCTGGCCCAGGCCCCAACCCTCCACCCATAGGTGAGTGACAGCCAGAAGGGTCAGGAAGGGGGACACCTGGCTCCCCACCCCAGCTCTCCTTTCTTAGGCTGCTCACACGAACCTTCATTTTTTCCTATAGATCCTGATACCCTGGAGGAATTCAGGAAAAGGATCCTGGAGTCCCAGCGCCTTCCAGTAGTCAAGCCTGCCGTCCCACCCAGGTGAGATGCCGACCGGCTGAGATCTCCATCCCAGAACTGTGGATAAAGGAAGCTGGGTCAGGGCTCAGGGTGGAGGGAGCCAGAGTTCACACTTGCTGCCTCCATAATGGAGCACCTGCTGTATACTAGGGCATGGCCAATATACCAAACATGACCATACTCTAGACAGGCAAGGCAGGGCTTTGGAGGGAGGGGATACTGTGAGCACAGGGAGAACAGGGGGGTCGGTGTCCTGGGCAGCTGGAACAGCCAGCACAGGTTTGGAGGCTGGGCTGGGTAGAGAAGGTCCACAGAGTGGAGAATGTGAGACTCTGAGTCTTCATTGCCCGTGTATCCTGTACACGTATGTGAAGGTGCAGGCCAGAGCCCAACCCTGCCTACAGTTCCTCATAGTCTCCGCTGTGGTTTTACTTTTTTCCCTGTTCATCTGTTCTGCGCATGGACAAGCGCGTGCCGTGACACTCATGTGGCTCAGAGATCAGCTCACCACGTGGGGCCTGGGCATTGAATTCGGATCCCCAGGCCTGGTCCACCATCTTGCCAGCCCATCCACCAGGGTTTCCGTGGTTCTCCTGAGTCAGGGTCTCTATATGTAGGCAGACTGGCCTGAAAACTCACAGGTCTGGTCCTGAGTGCTGGAATTCTCTAACGTACCACCACACCCAGGGGTTCTCACTGGACTGGCTGACCGGCCACAGGAACTGAGAGCTGCCATCTCCCCGGCCCTGTACAAGTGTGCCCACTGTGTTCTGGGATCGAACTTGGGTCCTTCTGCCCTGCAGCAAGGCTTCTCTGAGCTACCTCCTTACCCCAGAGCCTCACGATGTACTTTTACGGAATGGAAGCTGGGCTGGTGAGAGGCTCAGCGAGGAGGGGAGTTTGCTGCCAAGCCTGGCGGCCCAAGTTCCATCCCCGGGGACCCACACAGTAGGAGAAGAGACTCCTGAAAGGTGTCTCCACACTTCAGCCATGGCGTAGGTGCACCCCACACACGATAAAAATAAGAAAATAAATAGACATCTGAGCCAGAGAAGTGGCATCCTGGGAGCCTGGGCCACAGTGTGGGACCCCGTCTCCAATGAAAGGCAGTTTAGGATGAAGGCCATCAAATGTAAAGCACTTTACATTAACTGTGAAGTGAAGCCCACAGTCAAGAGAGGGACCAGGGCTGTCCTTGGAGCATGCCTGGGGCATCTGGCCCAATGCCCACACCCCTCACCGAGTCACCAGCCCAGTCATCCGTTGGAGGCACCATGTGTGTGCGTCACAGGGAAATGACTCAGGGACCACTCTCTGCAGGGGCCTGGCCACTCTGGTTCAGGTCGTATAACCTGGGTGACCTGGTGGCGGCTCAGGTCCTGAGCCCACCTGTAATCTCAGCACGCAGGAGGCTGAGGCAGGAGGATTAGGAGCTCAAGGCCATCCAGGGCTCCCGAGGAATCTCCTTCCTGTTTGTTAGCAGTTTGGTTCCAAGACTCAGAGCAGTCTCTGGGATTTGTACATGGATGAATTGTCTGCATGTCTGTCTGTGCTCAAGAAGAGGGCATCAGATCCCATTTTAGATGGCTGTGAGCTGCCATGTGGGTGCTGGGAATTGAACCCAGGTCTTGTGAAAGAGCAGCCAGTGCCCTTTAACTGCTGAGCCATCTCTCCAGCCACAGTCTTTGGGATTTTACACCGAATCTTGTTGGGTCCCTAGATCTAGATTTCAACTCCCTGAACCATCACATGGTGGCCAGACCTGTCTGTTTCTCACAACCCCTTGGAAAACTACCAGGGAGCTCCAGAGACCACTCTGTAGTTAGGGGTTTGGTTTCTTTGTTTGTTTGTTTGTTTGTTTGTTTGTTTGTTTTAATTTTTTTGGTTTTTTTCAAGACAGGGTTTCTCTGTGTAGCTTTGTGCTTTTCCTGGAACTCGCTTTGGAGACCAGGCTGGCCTTGAACTCACAGAGATCCGCCTGCCTCTGCCTCCCGAGTGCTGGAATTAAAGGCGTGCGCCACCACCGCCCGGCTGTTTTTATTTTTTTAGACAGGGTTTCTCTGTGTGGTCCTGACTGTCCTGGAACTCACCTGCCTCTGCCTCCCCAGTGCTGGGGTGAAAGGCATGCGCCACCACTGAGTGGCATGGTATTGATTTTTAAAGAGATTCATTTATTACTATTGTTTGACATAGAGTCTTACTCTGTAGCCTTGGTTGTCCTGGAACTCACTACATAGACCAGGCTAGCCTGGAACTCACAGCGCTCGGCCTGCCTCCCCAGTGCTGGGATTAAGGGTGTGTGACATCTCACCCTGCCCCACTCTGTACCCCAGGCTGGCCTCACACTCAGTCCTTTGCCTCCACCTCTTCTTTTGTTTGTGTGTGTAAGAGGGCGCTGGAGTCAGGCCCTCTGAAGGGGCAGCAGGCTCAGCTGCCCCTCCAGCCACAGCGAGCGACTTGTTTTTGAGGTTGTTTGATTTATGTAACCTGGGTTGGCTTCAGGCTCCAGGTCATCCTGCAAAAAGGTAGGAGAGTGAGGAGTCGGCCTGCGTGGCACAGGCCTTTGAGCCCAGCACTTGGAAGGCTGAGGCAGGGGGATTACAAGTTGGAGACTACATAGTGAATACTTTTTTTTTTTTTTTTTTTAAGAAAGGACGGAAGGTGGAGGAGAGAGCAAATATTGAAAACGATGAATAGAGACAGCAGAGTAGGCCCTACCTCCTTGCGAGCTACTGCACCCCTACCCTCCCACCCCATCCATCTTGGCTGGGAAATTTCTATTCTGAGCTCCACTTCTCAGAGGATGAAACTAAGGACTTAGCCAGGGTCACGCACAGGCCTAGGACTGTCAGGTCTCACTTGAGAACCGGGAAAGCTTTGGACATTGTTTATCTTGAATGACGCCCGTGTGGAGGGACAATGCTCACTCAGGCCTGCCCCCCCCCCACAACCCTCCCTCCCCCATTAGCGTTCAGGTGCCAGGAAGAGCCTTTCCCGGGACTGGGGCCATGGCCTCAAGGGGCTTCTTCCTCAAGGGTACAGCTTAGCTTTGTTCCTCCCATCCCCCCCTGCCCGTCCCCTCCCATCCCCCCTGCCCGTCCCCTCCCATCCCCCCTGCCCGTCCCCTCCCATCCCCCCCCTGCCCGTCCCCCTCCCATCCCCCCTGCCCGTCTCCTCCCATCACTCCCGGTCTCCTTTTCACACTTGCTAGGCAGATGAACATCTCCAGTCTGATTGTTTTGAGATGATGTTTGGCTATATAGCCTTGCTGATCTCAAACTTAGAACCTTCTTCATCAACTTTGAAAGTCTGGGGTGGCACAGGCCTTTAACCCCAGCACTTGGGAGGCAGAGAGGCAGATCTCTGTGAGTTGGAGGTCAACCTGGTCTACAGAGTGAGTTCCAGGGCCACACAGAGAGACCCTGTCTCAAAACAAAACAAAACAAAAACAAAAAAGAAAATAAGTAAGTCTGGGTTGATACCTACCTCCACATCCAGCTTTGCTATCATTTAATTAACTAGTTTCATTATTTTGGGACAAGATCTCACTGTGTGGACCAGGCTGGCCTTCAGCTCAGAGATCCGCCTGAGTGCTGGGATTAACGGGGTGTACCACCACCCCAGGCTCCGTACACCCCCTTTCTATTTATTTATTTGTTTATTTATTTATGTTTATTGATGTGTGTGAGTGTTTTCTGTGGGTCTGTCTGTGCACCTGATGCCTGTGGAGGCCAGAAGAGGGTGTCAGGTCCCCAGGAACTGGAGTTTCAAGTGGTTAGCCGCCATGTGGGTGCTGAGGACCGAAGCTGGGCTCCGGCGTCCACCACCACCTTTTGTTGTTGTTGTTTGGAGACAGGGTTTCTCTGTGTAGCCTTGGCTGTCCTGGAACTCACTCTGTAGACCAGGCTGGCCTCGAACTCACAGAGATCCGCCTGCCTCTGCCTCCCAAGTGCTGGGATTAAAGACATGCGCTACCACCACCTGATCACAACCACTTTAAAAAAAAATATTTCAATATCCAAATGTCTTCGTGGGTGTGGTGTATGGCCTGTGTGTGCTGCGTGCTTGTGGAAGAGGACAGTCATGTCCTTTGTCGTTGTCTGGCTAATGCCCTTGAAACCAGGCCTCTCACTGAACCTGGAGCTACTTGGGCCCCAGCCCCAGCCTCCTCCAGGCACTGGGGTCACAGCTGCTGGGGTAGACACACCCAGCTTTTTGTTGTTATTTTTATTTATTTATTTTTGTTTCCCTGAGACAAGGTCTCACCGTGTAGCCCAGGCTGGCCTCAAACTCACAGAGATCCTCCAGCCTTTGCCTCTAAGGTCTGGGTTTAAGGGTGTGCTCCATCATGCCTGGCCCCAAGGATTCGAACTCAGGTCACCATGCTGTGGGAGTAACTGCGCTTCCTCACCGAGCCATCTCCTTCTACTCCATTTACGGCACTGACAAGTGTGTGTGTGTGTGTGTGTGTGTGTGTGTGTGTGTGTGTGGTGTGTGTGGGGGGTGTGTGTGTCGAGAACTCAAACGTGGTTACATCGATCAAAACAATTGTCTTTTATTTAAAAATTACCATCAGATTTACTTGTATGTGTGTGTGAGAGCCACGGCACTTGGACACCTTGTAGGAGTCAGTTATCTCCTTCCAACCTGTGGGTCTCAGGGATGGAACTCAGATCATCGGGACTCAGCAAGCGTCGCGGCTAAGCCAGTTCACGCTTGTTTTAAATGAGACCAACGGTCTGGTTGCCCCAGCCAATTCCTCTCTATGCCAGAGGTTCCATTTCCAACGTTTGGTTTGGGATTTTGTTTGTTTGTTTGTTTTCTTTTGGGGGGGGCGGGGAGGGTTGAGACAGGGTCTCATGTAGTCTAGACGGGCCTCAAACTCACCATGTAGCTAAGGCTGGCCTTGAACTCTTGACCTTCCTGCGTCCTCTGCCGGTGTAGCCCTGATACTCAGGTCTCAGCCCCAGGAGCTCAGAAGCAGGGTGACATGGGCCGAGGAACAGTCAGGAGGGAGACCAGCTGAGCCGGATGGCAGCAGCAGGCTGATGCCTGGCGCCTCAGGAGCCTCAGGAAATGGCACAGGGCCCCACACAGCCACTCTCCTGCCTCTTACCCTCAGCCTCCACTTCCCAGTTGCCCCTGCCTAGAAGACTGCCCTGGGGACTTGTTATTTGGACCAGTGTCTGTCATCTCGGTACCCGGGCCACAGAGGCAGGGGGATCTCTGGGCGTTTGAGCCGGCCTGGTCCACACAGTGAGTCCCTATCCCAAAACAAACAAAGGAAGATAGGCCTGGAAGAACCCATGAATGTACTAGCCAAGTATCTGGCCCACGGAAACGGATGTATCTTGTGAGGTTTTTCACAATTTTTTTAAACAGTGATTGATGGTGTATGTGCACGTGTCAAAACACAAGTGTGGAGGTGGAGGACAACGTGCAGCAGTTGGCTCTCTCCTTCCATCATGTGGCTCCTAGGGATCGATTTCATATCAGGCTTGGCTACAAGCCCCTGTACCCGCTGAGCCCTCTCGCTGGCCCCTGATTTTATTTTCCTTAATTTCTGACATTGTGGGAAGATACAAACTACTGGAATCTTCCACAGGGCCAAGGCAAGCTCACCGAGGAAGGGGCTTTTAACCAGACACCCAGACAAGGGAGGAGCCTGGGTATTCTGGGTAGTGTGCCTGGGAAGGAGCGATCAAGGGGAGGACGTGAGGTGACAGGAACTGAGCCTCCTCGTGGCTGTGGCAAGGGCTTTGGGGGTCCCAGAGGCTGTGGGCAGCACCGGGCTTGGCCCACATGGAGACTAACTGGTTCACTCTGGTTGATTTGGGGGAGGTGACCTGGGCAAGAACAGAGGTCACCAGGCAGTCGAGATGGGATCACAGCTGGAGCCAGGGAGGGGACCAGAGCCAGCCAGAACGTGAGGCCTGGGGCCCCAGGGAAGAGCTGGGGAAGGAAGGGAGGGGGAGAGGAAGCCAGACTTAGCTGCAGACCCCCCCTCCCCACCAGGAAACGCCTCAGCGCCACCCCTGACCCCACCGGAGCGCCTTTGCCTGGCGGGGGAGGGGGGGGGTGAGGGGTGAGGGCATTCCAGACGAGAGGTGCTGTCGGGGGATGGGGCGGAAGCCTCTTGGAATTGTTGGCACTTGGGTGGGGCTGGTGTCCGGGCTGCAGGGAGGCAGGAGGGATGGACCTTGGTGTCAGCTGTGAAGCTGTGGACTTTGTTGGTCCTGAGGGTCCGTGGAGGGCGCATGCGTGGGGCAGGCTCATTCAAACTGTCTCGGACTGAGTGAATAAAAGAAAGAAAAGCAGAATCCTAGTGTGTAGGAAGCTGAGGCAGGAGGACTGTGAGTTTGAAGCCAGCGTGGACGACATGTGGAGACCCAGGGTTCAGGGCCTAGAACCTTGTGGGCCTCTCTGAATCCTAGTCTCGGTCTGTGGAGCAGAGCCAAAGCTCCGAAGCTTGGGTCTAACCTGGAGCCCCTGGGAGCCCTGAGAGGCCCGGGGAGCCGTGTCATGCCCCTGCTGCGGAGCAGCCCCTGGCTCCTCAGCCTGTTGACTGATGTGCTCTCTGCTTCTTCCTTCCCCAGTGGCTGAGGAAGCAGCTGCTGCAGGACCCTGGGCATGAGACTCGCCCATCTGTGGATGGGGCCAGCCAGATGCCCACAGCGCTGGACACCTGCAGTGCCCCATGGCCAGCAATCTCCATCCCCACCTCCTCTGCCCCCTCACTGCCCCTGCTCCCTACCGGCCCCCAGACACTGGGTTTAAGGCATATACAGCTGTGGGGTGACCAGAACGGCACCCGCCTGCCCATAAAGCACCCACAGCTCAGCTGCCACCCCAGGCCCTTCTCTGGCCTTGGTGCCATTTGGTGCCTGACCCGAGAGGTGAGAAACAGGAAGTCCCAGCCTCAGCTCCCTTGGGACTTTCCAAGCTCCCCCTAAAGGCCCGGGTAATTCTAGGTCCTCTTTTAGTTTCCAGGCCTCCCCTGGATGGCTTCGAGGCCCCAAGAAACACAGAATTTTCATTAGGTTTTAAACCATTTTCCAGGGTCTCTAGGCTCCCCTCCTTCCCACAAGGAAGGGCCTGGACCACAGGGGCGGCCTGTGGATCTCCCAGGGCCTGTAGGGATGCTTCTCCACACTCTGCCTTGCTTGTATCCCTTAAAGATATCCGTGGCACACAATAAATACCACAGAGTCTTTAAGGGCTGGTTTCTGTTATTTATTATTTTATTTTTCTGTAAATGAGGCCTCACTGTGCATGCCAGGTTGGCTTTGACGGCTGGTGTGTGCTGAATGGGGGCTAAGAGATGGCCCAGCAGTTTAGGGACTGGCTGCTCTTGGAGAGGACCAGAATTTGTTTGCTAGCTCCCACATGGCAGCTCACGACCTTCCTACGTCCAGGGCATCGGCACCATCTCTTGACCTCAAGGGCAGCAGACATGCGGACAGAGCATTTGTCTGCGTAAAGTAGAACAGTAAATCTTCAGATGGACAGACTGCTAGCCGTGGTGGTACCCACCTTTCAGCCCAGTCCTGAGGTTTAGTTGGTAGAGTGCTTGCAGCTCAGTTGTTAAGAGTGTTGTAGCTCAGCCGCTAGAGTGCTTGTGTAGCCCTGGGCTCCATCTCCAGCACCATATAAACTGGGCGTGGCAGGGCATATTTGCTGTTCCAGCACTGAGGGGGATGAGGCAGGAGGATCAGGACTTCAAGGCCAGCCTGGGCTACAGGAGACCCTGTTTCGATCATCAAAAATAAATAAAAATTAAAAGCTATACTACCTACTAGTGGTGCGGACATTGAAAGGAGCATTTCCTCAGGCTTGGTACCGATGCAAAACAAAACGTGGCCCTTACGGAGCTTGGTGATGGTAATAGAATGAAGCCTAGCACGGTGGAGCAGGCCTGTCAGCGCCGGTGGGGGGCGGCGCTGAGGCAGGGGACTGGAGTGCAAGGCCAGCCCTCTAACCCTGCCGCTCCTTCCCAAGAAAAAGCAGCAAAGCAAGAGCCATCGAGGGACAAGGGGGCGAAAAGTGCTGAGACGCAGCCCCCCCCCCCCCCCCCCCCCCCCGTCCCCAGCACCGGCCTGGGTGGGAGCCGGGGATGAATCACGCGGCCGGCAGTGCCACACTCGGCCACTGCTCCTCGGGGACAAAGCTGCGATATTTCCTGGATCCGGAAACACGGGCGAGAGCCTGTCACTGCAGGAAACACTGGGGCTGAGCCAAACGGGCCACCAGGGTCAGCCTGGGAGGCCGCCGGGACAGCCGGTCTGGAGGCCCCAAGGAACTGGGGATGTCCCTGGCCCTGAGCCTGAGCCCTAGGATGAAGCTGACCTGGTGACCACAGAGAGCCTGATAGCCACAGTCCTGGGTTCGAATTTCACTCCATCTCAGCCTCCGTTTCCTTTTCCTAGACACCATGTCCCAAATCTGTAACCTCAGCTGCTTGGGAGACTGAGGCAGAAGGATTGCTTATGCCTGAGAGTTCCTGTCCAGCCTGGGCCACACAACGCAGACCCAGCTCTAACAACCACAATAACGGTTGTAACAGTGGGTGTCAAGCTCAGACACACAGGCCTGCCGACGTGAGACCCTATTAAAGAAAAGCCTGTCCCAGCCACTGCCTCAGGAGGGTCCTGTACTGGTCCACAGCCATCTTTCCACCGTGGTGTCTGTTGCTCACACCCCCCATGGCTCCCCGTCCCCTACAGTCTAGTTCCACACCCCTTTGTCAGCTCCCAGACCTGGTTCAGTCCCAGCTGCTCTCTGAATTTCTGATCAGGACTTAAAGATGAGCAAGGCTCATCTGCTTGGTTTGTGTTTATTTTGTTTTGAGACCAGAGTCTCATTATGTAGCCCAGGCTGGCCTCCAACTCGGAGATCCTCCTGCCTCTGCCTCCCAGGTTCTGGGATTGAAGACATGTGCCGCCGCACCTGGCCAGCCCTGTTTTCTTAGACTGTCGTGACAGGTAGGGCTGACTTTTTTTTTTTTTTTTTTAGCAATCCTCCTGCCTCATTCTCCAGGATGTGGGGACTACAGGCGCGCTAACATGCCTAGCAATGCTTTTCCTTGCCCGAGAAACTTCTTTGTTCAAGACCAGGATTTGCAAACCAAAAATTCAGCTCATGGCAGGGCAATGTGTGTGAGAGTACTTGTTGCTCAAACAGGAGGTGGACTGAGACACAATTCCAGCACCCCCATAAAGGCTAGGGCGACCACACACCTGTAACCCCAGCGTTGTGGGCAGACGGTAGGATGCTGAGTGCTGGCCACCAGCCCTGAGACCTAGCCTGTAAGGTCTCCACCTGTGTCCTCTGGCTGGAATGTCCACTTAGATTCGCATGCCCACATGTGTGGACAGCGCCACACACACAAACAACATGGGACAGCGGCTTGGCTCAGCTTTGTCTGCCCAGACCCCTCCTCTAGGCAGCCTTCCAGGATTCCCTAGGTAATAGCCTTTGTCCCTTGGGCCCCCAGCCTCGCCCTGGCTCCCAGGCCCCAGGTAGTGCTCCCTGGTGGAAGGGGGCCCAGTGCCCGGCCGCAGCCGCCTCCGCTGGGTGAGGCCCTGACTCTTTGGGGATTTCCTGCGTCCTCTATAAATAACCCCCCGCCGCTTCCCACAAACTCCTCACCCTTCTTGGAAAAAAGGGACAGCGGCCAAGGCCTCCATGCAGCTGTGTGCCAGGCCGAGGCAGGAGGCCCGCAGCGGGCGAGCTGCCCGGAGGTCCGGCCCCGCCCAGCGCGAGGCGCCACCGCTCCTGCGAGCCGCGGGACCCTTCCCCTGTTTGAGGCAGGATCTGGCTTTGTAACCCAGCCTGGCTTGGGACAAGCGCTGGAAGGACAGACGTCCTCATCGATGAGGCCGCGGCCGGGGGACCGCGGGGAGTTACGCGAGGGACGCTCGCCCTCTGCTGGCCGGTTGCTGCTCCACCAGGCGGCCCAGCCTCACCGACGCCACCTCGCGGCCTCAGCAGACACAGCACAGACACCTCTGCAGGGTCTGTCCCAAGTCACTGGCAGTGGAGAGGCAAGTACTGTTCCCAGCACCCTACCGTGAATGATGCCTGTCACGGGGCCTGACAAGTTCAATGTGGGGTGCAATGGACTGCTCAAACCCAAAGCTCGAGGCCATTTCCCTGAGGCTGTGCTTTCTGATCTGTATGTTGGGAACATTTGTGCCCGGCCTGGTGAGCACTGGGGAGGATCCTTGTGACTCTGAGTAAGGCCAGTGTCACCTACAAAGACCCTATCTCAAAAACTAAAAATAAATACAAATAAAATAAAAATATTTGATAAGAGACTGGCGAGGCGGCTCTGCAGATAAAAACATCTGTAGCTCAAGAGGACTTGAGTCTGGTTCCCGGCACCCATGGCTCCCAAGCTCCTCTAGCTCCAGCTCCAAACTCACACACCTCCCTCACCACACACACATTTAATTAAAACTTGCTGCCAAGCCAGATGGCCTGAGACCCACGGTACCATTGCAGAGGACTCCGGCAAGTTGTCCTCTGATCCCATGTGTGCTGTGCCCCCATAAATAAACGTTAAAACAGAATGTTCAATAGGGCCAGGCCCGCCTGCAGCACTGGGTTCCAATTAGCTGTTTTTTGCATCGGCCTGTGGTGACGGCAGAGATTGTTTGAAGCGGGGAGAATGGGAAGCCGCCGCCGTGTGCTCATCAGTGAACAGGGCCGATCCCCTCACTCCCAGTCAGGGGGAAATGGCCTGGGGGAGCGTGCGAGAGCCGGAGGGCTGCGTGACTTGTGGGTAAGGCGGAGCCACAGCTGCTGACCGGCGCTCACACACCAACCCCTCACACTCTGTCCGGGAGGGGGGCTTGTGGGTAGGAAGATTGACAGGCAGTGAAAGGCCTGGGGGGAGGAGTGGGAGGCGCGGAAGGAAATGACATTTTCTTTGTTGGCGTAGTCAGAAAAACCCAGACACGATGATTTAGGAAGAGGACTCAGCAGGAGTAGGGACAAGAGAGAATGGGAGGGGACACTATCAGGCCACATCAGATACTCAGATGAAAAAGTCACAGCAAACTTATTACAGATAATATATGCTGCTACAGAAGTAAAAATAAATAAATATGTATATATTTTTGATTGACATATGATGCCATAGAGAGAACACAGGCGAACTTCTGGAAGGTAAGGGTAACTGGTTCTCATGAACAAACATTTCTGGATCACCTGAACTCTTCATACTCCTTTGGTAATTAAAAATAAAAATTATGAAGCCAGGGGCGTGGTTCAGGGGTGGAGCCTAGAATCTCCAGTGAGGGGGCTGGGGGCGTGGCTCAGGGGTGGAGCCCCGCCTAGAATCCCCCAGTGAGGGGCTGGGGGCGTGGTTCAGGGGAGGAGCCCTGTCCGGAATCCTCCAGTAGCAGGCTGGGGGTGTGGCTTAATACCTAACAGCCAAGGGTCTCATCTCCAGCAATACAGATTCTTGGCATGGTGATGTAGGCCTTCATCTCAGCACCCAGGGGTAGCTATCCTGGGATCCCTGGCCTGTCTGCTCACTGTGGAGGGAACCGACCCGAGGGCTGCAGATCCCCAGTGCTCTCCTGCCCTCTTGAATCAATATCTAGTGGTAACCTGACGCCCAGGCTCTGGCCCTCACTTGCCCACACAGAAGTCCCGGAAGATGAGGTCCAGGACCTCTTCGGTGCCTCCTCCACCTGTGAGGTGGCTCAGGTGCCTCCGAGCTAGGCGCAGGGCCTCAGCCGCCAGGGCCAGGTCTGTGGCCGGCTGGTAGTGGCTCAGGGCATCCAGGCAGCTTTGGAGGTGGTGCTGGTGCCTAGCCCGGGTCAGGAGCGGTGGTCCTGTGGATGGGTCCCCGCACCTGCCAGAAACAAGACCTGCTGTCTCACTCGGCTGTGCAGCCACCCTTTGAACAGGGCCCCCCACTGTACCCCTTTTGCAGAGAAACTGAGGCTGAGGGACAGGCCTGAGCCGAAACCAGCAGCTCTGCCTGCACCTGAACTTGGGTTGGGGAAGCTGAAGGAAGCCGAGGGTGACTCACACTGCAGCCAGCTCGGTCTTCAGGGCCTGTAGGAGGCCATCGAGCCCTGCTCCAGTGCGGCAGGACAGAAGCAGGTACGGCATCCCTAGGAGGGCGGTGTCGCTGTCCCGGGTACTAGTGGGAAGCAGGTCGGATTTGTTGAGCAGCAGCAGGAGGCGCTGTCCGCAGCTGTCGGGGCTCTGTGCTACCAATGGGGCCACCACAGTGTCCAGGAAGCTGCAGCTGGAGGGGGAGGCCAGGTCGGAGGCATCCAGTACCCCCAGGATGAGGTCAGCCTGCTCCAACCTGGGAAGGAAGGAAGCCATGTTGAGGGGCACAGCCATGGAGGCCTGAGATGGCACTGTGGGTGCTGAGCAGAGGGACAGACACCACAGGGCGTGGCCCAGAGCAAAAGCCAGGGCAGAGGCAGGGCACACACAGGTGCGGGCAATGGCTCAGGTGAAGGGCAGGGTAGAAAACGCTGGGGGCGTGGTCAATGGAGCAGTCGGCAGCGACAGCAGAGGACCTGAGGTCAGGGCTTTTGGTGAAGAAGGTTTGAGTGGTGTAGCTGGCAGGGTGGAGCAGAGCGGGCGGCCCTGGAGGGGGAGTGACCAAACAAGGCTTAGGACGGAGGAGAGTAAGGGACTCCAGCCAAGCTTGCATATCAATCAAATTACGAGGTCCCCCTACCCTCGATTTCAAGGGTGCTCAAAATCTTTCATTTCAGGAATAATGAAATAGTCTTAAGGGGAGGAAAAGACCCC